TACCGATTGCTTTAATGTTTTACATGACTTATATAGCTTATCTTCTGATAACTCTGATAATGTTATTAAAAATGATACTCCAATATCACAACAAAATATAGAAAATCAAAATTTACATAATCAAAGTAATTATTTTATTAATAAATTACGATCATGGGCAATATCATATAATATTTCACATAACGCCTTACGAAGTTTATTAAATTTATTAAAATTAGAAACAAATATTTCTTTGCCTCAAGATCCCAGAACTTTACTTTGTACTCCTCGACATGTACCCTACAAATCTGTAGGTTCAGGCACTTATGTACACATGGAAATTCAATTTGCAGTTCAAAATTTAATTAATTTGTTAGAAAAACAGCCAGAAAAAATTAATTTGTTTATTAATATTGATGGTTTGCCTTTAAGCAAAAGTTCCAGTAGTCAGATATATCCAATATTATGCTCAATATCTGAATATCCACAATATATATCTGTGATAGGTATCTATCATGGTTATGAAAAACCTAATGATGTTAATTTGTTTTTACAAGATTTTACAGATGAAGCTATAAAGTTATCGGAAGATGGTTTTATTTATAATAATCATGCTATACCATTTGCAATTAAAGCATTTATATGTGATGCTCCAGCAAAATCACTCATTACTTCTTGCAAAGGTCACACTGGATTTTTTGCATGTACTAAATGTATGCAAAGAGGAAAATATTAATATAAAAGCCAGAGTGTGTTATCCTGAAATAAATTATTTTGAAAGAACGGATGAAAATTTCTGTAATAGAGTTCAATCTGAACATCATACAGGAACATCAATTTTAGAAACAATACCTTCGATTAACATGGTAAAAAGTTTCCCTCTTGAATACATGCATTTAGTATGCCTTGGCGTAGTAAAAAAACTAATAAATATATGGCTCTTTGGACCTATTTCACATAGATTATCAAAAACCAACATACAATCTATTTCAAGTTATCTCATTGAAATAAAATCTTGTATTCCTCCTGATTTTGTAAGAAAAACCCGGTCTTTAAATGAAGTTGCACGCTGGAAAGCAACTGAATTTAGATTTTTTTTATTGTATTGTGGTCCAGTTGTTTTAAAAAATATCCTTTCATCTGACAAATACTTACATTTTATATCTTTACATATTGCTGTTAGAATTTTAATTAATGCTAATTTATATACAAAGTATTTAGAATAAGCATGTTTATTATTAATATTTTTTGTGAAACAATTTAAAGTCATTTATGGAGCAGAATACACTTCACACAATGTACATGGATTAATTCATGTTGTTGATGATTGCAAAGTTTTTGGACCTTTAGATCTTTACAGTGCATTTCCTTTTGAAAATTACATGCAATATCTAAAACGATTAGTTAGAAAATCTCATTATCCATTAGCACAACTTGTAAAGCGTATTCATGAGTCACAAATATATTGATAACTAAACTGTCAAAAAAAAATAAAATTGCAAATGGTACTAGAACATCATGAAGGTCCTTTACCTATAACACATTTTTCTGCTCAATTAAAAAATTGATTATAAATAATGTGTCGTTTGGTACACGTTTTGGAGATAATTGCTGTTATTTAAAAGATAAGAGTATTATGTTAATAGAAAATTTTGCTATAAAAGATAATAAGTACTACTTAATTGGAAAAAAATTTATTAATATAACAAGTTTTATTTCTGAACCATTTCAATCTTCAAATTTTGATATATTTTCAGTACATGAACTCGGAGAATTATCTATGTCACTAGTGGAAGATATTTCCAACAAAATGATAATTTTCCCATATAATTATACTTATGTTGTGTTTCCTCTCCTTCATACATTATGTTAATAATATAAATGTGTAAATGTGTAATATATATATATATATATATATATATATATATATATATATACATATATATATGCTATATTATAAAAATATTATCATAACTTTAATTTACATATTTTTTAATCCGTCACAGGTTGTACACGAAATACATATTGGATCCAAAAATTGTCTCGCCTTTCCGCCAGCCAAACAAATATTTGTCGTACGTATGCGTATACGTGCTTTGCAGTATATATATATATGGAACAGTGGAAAAATTATTAAGTCGTCAATGAAGGTATATATATATATATATATATATATATATATATATATATATATTACTTTGATAGTAATTTAAGCAGGTAATATTTACATCAATATTTATCTATTTGTTATCCTTTTCTGTGAAAATGTATTATATTATTTTATTTTTTATATATGGACCCAGCAAATATGTAAGTAATCAAGCATGTTACATGTAACGTATATGTTATAGTTGTAATTTCCCATTCATAAATGTAACATTTTTAATATAACATATATATTACATTGTAGTTATATTGTAATTATATACCAAATAGCACATTCATGTATCGATAAGTCAGTGCTATCTGGGATATAATGACAATATACCTACAATGTATAATATATGTTATATTAAAAATGTTACATTTATGAGTGGGAAATTACAACTAACATATACGTTACATGTAACATATGCTTCATTACTTACATATATACATAACATTTTATATATATACCGTGTTTGCTGGGCGAGGAATTGTTAGAAGATATTTATTAATTAACATTTAACTAGACAGCTTGATATATTTCTCAAAAAGAATGAATTAAAGTCATTAAATTTTCATGTTAATATATATTATATTGTCATTTTTTAATTAATGCTAATAAATGAATGAATGAATAACATTTTCAGAAAGGTCTCTTTTAATTTGTACGACAACAAATATAAGCTCGCTATTTTAAACACATCGACACGCATATTTTAGTACTTATATTAATACGAAATATTATTAATTCAACATGCCGAAGGACATAAGATTTTTATCTAAAAGACGAAAGAATCAATTAATCAATTGTCAATATAATTTACATAAAAATTTAAATTTATTACAATTAGTCGAATCAAACAAAGCATGTAATAATATTAAAGAAGCAACATTAACTCGTGAAGAATGTAACAATAATATATCTTGTAGAGATAATATATTATCTAACGATTCTAATGAATTTCATGAATTTGAGATAGAACATGATACGAATAACAAAAAAGAATGTAACATTGAATTAAAGGATAATACACCTACAACAAATATCTCCTATTGTAATAATGAGAATAATTTATGGAAGGATTTACAAATGTTAATTATTAATTGTAATATTCCACATAGCTGTGCAAACGAATTACTTCGTATTCTTATAACACATGGTCATGTGGAATTACCTTATGATGTCAGATGTCTACTTAGAACGCCACGAAATACATTTATGCATATTAAATCTATGGGCAACGGTCGTTACTTTCATTTTGGTATTTTGTCTTCTCTTGAGCGATCAATACAGATGTATTCTACATTTATAAAAACAAATGAAATTACATTAAATATAAATACAGATGGTTTACCACTTTGTAAAAGTTCTGGAAGCCAATTTTGGCCTATTATGGGATCAATAGAAGGAATAGATATTTACACATCACCATTCATAATCGGTGTGTACCATGGCATGTGCAAGCCCAATGATGCAAACGAATTTTTAACCGATTTTATCAATGACTTTATTTCTCTCTCACAAAATGGAATAACTGTTTTGAACAATAAATATACTGTTGCTATTGGTGCAATACTATGCGATGCCCCAGCTAGAGCATTTATTACACGCACCAAAGGCCATACAGGATATTTCTCTTGTCCTAAATGTATACAAGAAGGTGATTTTGTTCATAATAGAGTGGTCTTTCCACAAACTCATAATACGTTGCGTACTGATGATGCATTTAAAAATCGTGCCCAACCTGAACATCATACAGGTGATTCCATATTAGAAAAACTTCATATTGGAATGATATCGCAAATTCCACTGGATTATATGCATCTTGTTTGTTTAGGTGTTACAAAACGATTGTTACAAATTTGGCAAAGAGGAAATAAACATTTCAGATTATCGAAAGAGTGTGTAAATTTAATTTCACAGCATTTAATGGTGATTCAGCCATATATTCCAGTGGAATTTGCGAGAAAACCTAGAGATTTACGAGACATTGATAGATGGAAAGCCACTGAATTACGTCAGTTTTTATTGTACACTGGAATTGTAGTCATGAAGTCCACGATATCTTCAATTTATTATAATCACTTTTTATGTCTTAGTGTTGCAATTAGAATATTGATTGATCCACAATTGTGCGTGACATTTAATGACTATGCAAATTCATTATTATTGCACTTTGTATCGAATTACGGGAATATTTATGGTGACCAATATCTCTCATATAATGTGCATAATCTTATTCATCTAGCCAATGATGTAAACATGTTTGGTTCTTTAGACAACTTTAGTTGTTTCAAATATGAGAATAATATGCAAAAAATTAAGAAAAAATTGCGATCAGGAAAACCTTTAGAGGAATTAATAAATCGTACATCTGAAGAATTACAGCTTCCAATTCAACCGTGTCACAAAAAAAATATCCTATTGTTATTTACACACCAAAAAACAATATTTTTCATCTACAATTCAAAACTTTTAAAATTGCTATTAACAAAACTGATAATTGTGCTTTACTGCATGATATGTCTGTGATTTTTGTTTTGGAAATTTTTGAAGACTGTGGGATTGTATTTATTCGTGCGCAACAATTTTTGAATCTTAAATCTCTATTTACTAAACCATGTCCTTCGGAAAAACTTGGTATATTCGTGATACCAAATATTACTTGTTTTAATATTATTAAAATTCCAGCGACACAAATACAAAGAAAGTGCGTAAAATTGAAATTTTTTTATAAAAGTAATTCGTTTGTTACAATATCACTTTTACATAGTAATAATTAAAATGCATTTTGAGTAGATTTGATATATTCTACATTCTTTACTTTTGCATAACTTTATAAATTAATTTTAACTAATACGTTATGAATATTTTAATATAAATATTTTACTTTATCTTTCGTCTTTAAGATAAATATTGTATATGCGTTGTAATTTTTGTGGAATTTTCATTTATGGATATCATTAATGTGTAAGTACAATTTTTTAAAATTTAGGCAATTAATATTTTCGCATGAATATATTATAATATATCTATAATATCACAGATATGATATATCTTTGTATGAAATGTTGATCAACATTAACTGTTTATATATATACATATGTATTTACCAACAGATAATGGATGCTTATACCAAACAAGATAAAAAACATTATGCAGTAGTTAAATTTCTGTCGGATGGCACATTTTCTGAAATTCCTACTGCCTGGCTTTGTAAAGAAGGTGAGACAGATCAATGTTGGTGGCCGCCACGAACAGCAAATAGCACAATTTTAATTACAAATTGTGCAAGTCCAAATACCGACATATGGAGCAGACATGAGATAGAAATAATAAAATATTGTTGTAAGTACTTATACATTCTCTATATAGTCTCTATTTTTGAACCATATAAATATTTTTTCTTAAATTTAAAATTATTTATATAATAAAACAATAAATAAAACTTAATATAATCGTATATTTTACAATAATTGTCAAAATAAATGCGCGTATCAGCGCAGAAAAATGTTTCTATAATTTATTTGTAAATTTATTCAAATAAAGATTAATAGCTAAAAAATATATTTTATTATTTACAGCTTTGTTTATGTAATGAAATTAAATTTTGAAGTTAATATATAATATTTTTAACATTTAAAACATTTAATTCTAAATTGAAATTTAAGAAATACATTTAATTCTAATATTAAATTTGAGAATAAAAAATTTTTTTCAATCACGATGCGACTTATACGAAAAATTGACATTATTTTTCCTTTCTTTTTTACAGCGTCATTAGAATCAGCTCGAAAAAGTGCATCAGATGCATATTATCACACAACTGATGACGAACGATTAGGACGAGGAAAAAGACAATTGCGCCCATATAATCGATACGACAGTAGTGATGAAGAACACGAAGAAACACAATCTCGAAAATTTAATAAAAAACAACGTTATTCATGCAATCGTAGCAATAATAGTGACGAAGAAGAATACGAAGAAACACAATCTCGAGAATTAAACATTAAAGGTACATCTTGTCAAAGTATGTAAAACTTATTGCCACATACTTTTAGAGATTGTTTCATATGTAATCGCATATAAAAAGAAAGATCTTTAAATTGTATTATTACTATTTTTTTATGGTACTCATTTTATTAAGTATTAATAGTATTAATAGTGACTTTTAAATATATATTTTTAGGAAAAAGACTTACAGAAAAAAACTGTTCGAGTGCTATTGCATCTACTCTACCATCGTGTCCTGACAACTTTGGTTTAAATAATAATGTACTCTCTACATTTAATACACATAATGTCTCACAAAAAAGTTGTGGAAGCCGTTTTAATGAGACTTTGTCAAAGAAAGGTAACTCGCATATTATTTTTTATTATCTAAATATAATAGTTGTTATAATAATTATTGTAACAAATATTTAGGAATGGAAAGTGTTTCATTGTCTAAACAAAAAGAAAAGGAAGCCGAAGAAGTGGAAAACATACCCATAATATTTGATGGTACGTGTGTGTGTGTGTGTGTGTGTGTGTGTGTGTGCACATATGTTATATATGTATATGAGATATTAATAAAATACATTATTTGCAATATTTTAGGATATGTACCGTGTATAGAGGATATAAAAGAGAATGTGAATATAAAACGTAAGTAATTTTTTATTTCTTTTTCATTTACAGAGTATTTTACTCACTTACAAGGGACGAAAATTCAGAAAACCCTCAAAATTTATTAAATTTATTTAAATTTTTCAATACTTATTTATACATAATTTTGTAAAAATTAAAGAGATGCAACTTTTGTAAAAATTTTCTTCAAAGAGTGATTTCACTCCCTCAAATCCGGACAAATAAAAAATATTGTAGTTTTGTGTTACAGATGAACTACTCTATTTATACACAATTCAGAATAAATTCTGAATTTTCGGATTGCTTAATCTCTGGTTAGATATTTCATTCACTTTTATATACATGCATATGTGTCTTATTGCAGAGAATTTACAACAAATGGTACACATGCAAGCAACAGTAAACATCACGTTACAAGATATAAACCAACGTTTAAAAAGAATAGAAAAAGCTATTCTTACAAAATGTGTATCAAATTTTGATGTAAATGATAATATTATCACGAAATTTTTACCTTGTAGCACAGTAGAACGTATAAAGCAATTTGAATCATTATTGAAAACTACAGAAGAGGCAGTTACTCAATTTGTAAGAATTCTTTGTATATTACTTATTTTATAGCAATCGCATTTTATTTAAAAGCAAATTTATGTGTACAAAATGTACGTTATTTTTACAGAGAGAGTATTTGTTGAAAATAGGAGGAAACAACCCTAAAGATAATATACAACAAATTTTGAAAAAAATTTTCACGAATGAGTGTGCTATGAATTGTTCCATGAAAGGAATTCGAAACAATTTCCGAGTTGGTGACTTAAATATAATAAAAATTGTTAGAAGTATGTGATATATATATATATATAAGCTGTGCTAAACTTAAAATTTATTGATAGTTTTATTAAGGGGTAACACCACTGTAAAATTTTCAAAAAATCGATTTTTTTTTTGGGCTTAAAAAATCCTTTGAACCCTGTAGAATACGAGGAAAAAACTTTTATACGTGAAACTAATTTATTTCATCGAAATTCCTAGCTATGTACTGAACGAGTCGGGCGACTCCGAAACGGCTACCTGCTCCGGGTGGAAACCTGTCGAGAGAGTAGTGCATAATACCTTGCTTATTGATTTCTAAGTTATGTGAGACACTACTAGATGAAATATATCTAGATATATGAAATATATCTAGATATATCTAAAATATATCTAAAATATATCTAAATATATCTAAATATATCTAAATATATCTAAATATATCTAGATATACGAAATATATCTGGAAATGGAAATTGGCGTCGAAGCATATAATTTTTGCATCGAATCCGATGCAAAACGAATCAAGCACGCAGAGGCACAATTATCAGATGCAGCAAAAAAAGCGCGCTCTGGCATAACATCTGCGAGGAAAGAAATGGAGGACGAATATTCCAACTTAGAAGGGCAGCTTTACGGTGCTGGGATTGCAGACTAATAGTAAAAATTTTTTTTGAGTCGAATTTTAAATTTTTTCATGTTATAATACAACTCCAAACTTTAAACGCGTTTTTCTCGAAACACGTTTTTTCAACGCGGCAAGCAGTATAACTCTAACAATTTTTAATATTTTCACTTGAATTTTTTACTGTACATTCAAAACAACATTTCGAAGTACAATACGTATGGAATTTTTGATACGTTGCTCTAAACATTTTTTATTGCCAAATAATGTCACTTTTTTTTTGTCGAAAAATGAACGACTTTATTCAAATGCTCGCCAATCACTCAAAAATCAATATTTCTAAAATCCCATACGTATTGTACTAGATATACCATTGAAGATCATGAGGAATTTTTTTATTTGTTCTTGGTTCAAATTTCCAACGGCTACACTGCTTGCCGCAGACCCTTTTATTTTAAAGGAGCATCAGGGAATATGGCTGCCATTCCGCCATTTTGTAATATTATTTTATGAAAAAATTTTTACTAGTACTTCAATATATGCTTATTAACTTCACGGAGTATTAATACTTTATTTCATTTCCTTTCATTAAAAAAAAATGTCGAAGAAGTGCAATTTTTTGGGCCGTTACAGTGGTGTTACCCCTTAATTTAATGCATTCTCTTTTTTAAGGAGATTTAACTTTACGTCACGCAAGTCTAACAGAATCCGATTTTGATGGTATAGTCGCAGAATGGCTACGTTTTGCGAAACAAAGAAAAGAAAGAGAAGACAAGACTAAGGAACAAGACAATGAAGAAAATGATGTACAACATAACGTTGATGAGTAACATCTAATACATATATAAATATATATATATCTTTATCTTTTTTAAAAAAACATTTTTTTCTTAATATATAAAAAATATAGTATCGCTATATATCTTTGAAGATCCTGGATCCTCGTTACAGCCATATGTTAGATTATGACAGAGACGAGAAAACACACTGAAAGTTTTATTTAGATGCCATTTTTAAATGAAAAGATACTTCAAAAAAACACTACTTCGGATGGTTTTAGCACACATTTTTAAAATACCTCGAAACTATTCTTTTCCCTTGACAGTCAATCAACAATCGTAAAATAATTGTGATATTAAACTTTGTCATGTGGAATGACTGTGCATGTGTAAAGATCAGACGGACTGGGCCTCATATTAGTCATTTTACAGTTTTTGATTAATTATAAAGGGAAAAGGATAGTTTTCAAAGTATTTTGAGAGTGCGCAAAAGCCATGCAAAGTGCTGTTTTATTAAAATGTCTTTATTTCAAAATGACTTGAGAATTTTAGCGTATGCGTTGTTCGCCTCTAACGTCACAATTCCAACATGGTCGGTGAATAGCCAGAAGTCTTAATAAGGTTTATAGATTTCTCTCTAGAAAAGGGGACACCATGGCGATAAATAGATAAATGTTTTCTGTATGATATATATATATATATATGTATATATAGACTAATGGGTGCTGGGATTGTCCCCTTTTGAGGACAAAGTCCGCATTAGCCTGTCCTCCAGGAAACATTATTATATAATACATCTCCTGATGTCCATTAAAAGTATTTGTGTTCGTATAACAAAAAAATAATCAGAAAAAAGTTAAGTTTAAGTTATAAGAAAGGTAAACGTATAATAAAGTTATTGATATATATATATATATATATATGTTTATACGTTTCCTGATGTGATAAAAATATATGATTTCTGATATTAAAAAAAATGATTTATAAAAATATTAATTTTATATAGACTTATTCATTAAGATTGATATATGTTTGTGAAATTTTATTAGATATATAGGGATAGGTACTTTATGCTTTTGAATACCTATATGAATTATGCCAGGAAAAAGTGTCTGAAAATGCTCTCATTATGCGCGAAAAATCTAGCAATTATGCGCTAATTATGCGTGTTAAATCCGTTAGCTATTATAATATATGCGCATTATTGATATTATTTCAATCTTTCGCGTAATATATAACATAACAGCCTAAAAAAAAATATATAGAGTTCAATTTTGAAAAATTCGTCGTTTTCTCCCAAATCCGAGTGTTTTAAATACAAAAACTGCCTTATTGTGCGATAATTACGCGAAAATCGCATTATGCTGCGCGGAAGTGTTTATTATGCGATTGAAATCTGTCAATATTAATAAGTGTGTACTATGCATATAACTAGTAAAATTTATGCTTAAGAACAATTTTTGACACATTTGCTATTATGCTCAAAGCATAAAGTACCTATCCCTATAAATATAGTGATTTATTGATTCATTATTTTGTGTATGTATAGAATTCTGGCATTTTTTTCTATTTAAAGCATATAGTTTTATTATAAAACTTTTATTTTAAGATGTTATTAAAAAAAATTTGCTAAATTTGTATTAATTTGGCTATTTTAAAGATAAAGCATATTATTATGTTTTTATTTAAACTATACATAACAATAAAGTGCGATACAGTTTTTATTTGTCTTTCTGTAATTTTTATATTTAACACTTTGTTCTATGTAATGCAAAATGAACGTTGTGCAATATAGAAAAATATGTATATGTATATATATATATTTGCAATATATATCATATATACTTTATATTTACATAAAATGTGTGTATATATATCTTTATCGATCCTTATATTCACCCCAAAACACAGCCTCCAACAGGAAATATTACTTTTGCACATACTATATAATCTCAAGAAAGGTGTTTGAATTAATTCTAAGCAAAAATAAACGAAACATGTATTTTTACAATTTTCGTTTAGTTTATTCGCTTAGAATTAAATCAAGGATCTTTTTTGGGATTTGTATGTGCAAAAGGTAAAGTATCTTAATGTTATAGTAATATAGCAGTTATATAACAAAACGGTAATTAATTACATTATATTAACGTTACAGTTACATTACATTAATATAACACCGCAGTAAGTTATGTTACTGTTATATAACTAATATATAATTGTTATATAATTTATGTAACATTTCAGTTACATGTTATATTTATGTTATGTAACTGTAACATTGTATGAGTGGGAAATTACAATTAACATAGACGTTACATGTAATATATACGTTATATTACGTGTTACATTCAGTTACATTGTAACAATGTTGCTGTTATATATTTGTGTTTGCTGGGTATATATGTAAAACTGTGATAGCGACATTGCAAGAACCCACGTTCTTGATTTTCCACAGATTTCAATCGCATAATAAACACTTCCGCGCAGCATAATGCGATTTTCGCGTAATTATCGCACAATAAGGCAGTTTTTGTATTTAAAACACTCGGATTTGGGAGAAAACGACGAATTTTTCAAAATTGAACTCTATATATTTTTTTTTAGGCTGTTATGTTATATATTACGCGAAAGATTGAAATAATATCAATAATGCGCATATATTATAATAGCTAACGGATTTAACACGCATAATTAGCGCATAATTGCTAGATTTTTCGCGCATAATGAGAGCATTTTCAGACACTTTTTCCTGGCATAATTCATATAGGTATTCAAAAGCATAAAGTACCTATCCCTATATATCTAATAAAATTTCACAAACATATATCAATCTTAATGAATAAGTCTATATAAAATTAATATTTTTATAAATCATTTTTTTTAATATCAGAAATCATATATTTTTATCACATCAGGAAACGTATAAACATATATATATATATATATATTCAATAACTTTATTATACGTTTACCTTTCTTATAACTTAAACTTAACTTTTTTCTGATTATTTTTTTGTTATACGAACACAAATACTTTTAATGGACATCAGGAGATGTATTATATAATAATGTTTCCTGGAGGACAGGCTAATGCGGACTTTGTCCTCAAAAGGGGACAATCCCAGCACCCATTAGTCTATATATACATATATATATATATATATCATACAGAAAACATTTATCTATTTATCGCCATGGTGTCCCCTTTTCTAGAGAGAAATCTATAAACCTTATTAAGACTTCTGGCTATTCACCGACCATGTTGGAATTGTGACGTTAGAGGCGAACAACGCATACGCTAAAATTCTCAAGTCATTTTGAAATAAAGACATTTTAATAAAACAGCACTTTGCATGGCTTTTGCGCACTCTCAAAATACTTTGAAAACTATCCTTTTCCCTTTATAATTAATCAAAAACTGTAAAATGACTAATATGAGGCCCAGTCCGTCTGATCTTTACACATGCACAGTCATTCCACATGACAAAGTTTAATATCACAATTATTTTACGATTGTTGATTGACTGTCAAGGGAAAAGAATAGTTTCGAGGTATTTTAAAAATGTGTGCTAAAACCATCCGAAGTAGTGTTTTTTGAAGTATCTTTTCATTTAAAAATGGCATCTAAATAAAACTTTCAGTGTGTTTTCTCGTCTCTGTCATAATCTAACATATGGCTGTAACGAGGATCCAGGATCTTCAAAGATATATAGCGATACTATATTTTTTATATATTAAGAAAAAAATGTTTTTTTAAAAAGATAAAGATATATATATTTATATATGTATTAGATGTTACTCATCAACGTTATGTTGTACATCATTTTCTTCATTGTCTTGTTCCTTAGTCTTGTCTTCTCTTTCTTTTCTTTGTTTCGCAAAACGTAGCCATTCTGCGACTATACCATCAAAATCGGATTCTGTTAGACTTGCGTGACGTAAAGTTAAATCTCCTTAAAAAAGAGAATGCATTAAATTAAGGGGTAACACCACTGTAACGGCCCAAAAAATTGCACTTCTTCGACATTTTTTTTTTAATGAAAGGAAATGAAATAAAGTATTAATACTCCGTGAAGTTAATAAGCATATATTGAAGTACTAGTAAAAATTTTTTCATAAAATAATATTACAAAATGGCGGAATGGCAGCCATATTCCCTGATGCTCCTTTAAAATAAAAGGGTCTGCGGCAAGCAGTGTAGCCGTTGGAAATTTGAACCAAGAACAAATAAAAAAATTCCTCATGATCTTCAATGGTATATCTAGTACAATACGTATGGGATTTTAGAAATATTGATTTTTGAGTGATTGGCGAGCATTTGAATAAAGTCGTTCATTTTTCGACAAAAAAAAGTGACATTATTTGGCAATAAAAATGTTTAGAGCAACGTATCAAAAATTCCATACGTATTGTACTTCGAAATGTTGTTTTGAATGTACAGTAAAAAATTCAAGTGAAAATATTAAAAATTGTTAGAGTTATACTGCTTGCCGCGTTGAAAAAACGTGTTTCGAGAAAAACGCGTTTAAAGTTTGGAGTTGTATTATAACATGAAAAAATTTAAAATTCGACTCAAAAAAAATTTTTACTATTAGTCTGCAATCCCAGCACCGTAAAGCTGCCCTTCTAAGTTGGAATATTCGTCCTCCATTTCTTTCCTCGCAGATGTTATGCCAGAGCGCGCTTTTTTTGCTGCATCTGATAATTGTGCCTCTGCGTGCTTGATTCGTTTTGCATCGGATTCGATGCAAAAATTATATGCTTCGACGCCAATTTCCATTTCCAGATATATTTCGTATATCTAGATATATTTAGATATATTTAGATATATTTAGATATATTTAGATATATTTTAGATATATTTTAGATATATCTAGATATATTTCATATATCTAGATATATTTCATCTAGTAGTGTCTCACATAACTTAGAAATCAATAAGCAAGGTATTATGCACTACTCTCTCGACAGGTTTCCACCCGGAGCAGGTAGCCGTTTCGGAGTCGCCCGACTCGTTCAGTACATAGCTAGGAATTTCGATGAAATAAATTAGTTTCACGTATAAAAGTTTTTTCCTCGTATTCTACAGGGTTCAAAGGATTTTTTAAGCCCAAAAAAAAAATCGATTTTTTGAAAATTTTACAGTGGTGTTACCCCTTAATAAAACTATCAATAAATTTTAAGTTTAGCACAGCTTATATATATATATATATCACATACTTCTAACAATTTTTATTATATTTAAGTCACCAACTCGGAAATTGTTTCGAATTCCTTTCATGGAACAATTCATAGCACACTCATTCGTGAAAATTTTTTTCAAAATTTGTTGTATATTATCTTTAGGGTTGTTTCGTCCTATTTTCAACAAATACTCTCTCTGTAAAAAATAACGTACATTTTGTACACATAAATTTGCTTTTAAATAAAATGCGATTGCTATAAAATAAGTAATATACAAAGAATTCTTACAAATTGAGTAACTGCCTCTTCTGTAGTTTTCAATAATGATTCAAATTGCTTTATACGTTCTACTGTGCTACAAGGTAAAAATTTCGTGATAATATTATCATTTACATCAAAATTTGATACACATTTTGTAAGAATAGCTTTTTCTATTCTTTTTAAACGTTGGTTTATATCTTGTAACGTGATGTTTACTGTTGCTTGCATGTGTACCATTTGTTGTAAATTCTCTGCAATAAGACACATATGCATGTATATAAAAGTGAATGAAATATCTAACCAGAGATTAAGCAATCCGAAAATTCAGAATTTATTCTGAATTGTGTATAAATAGAGTAGTTCATCTGTAACACAAAACTACAATATTTTTTATTTGTCCGGATTTGAGGGAGTGAAATCACTCTTGAAGAAAATTTTTACAAAAGTTGCATCTCTTTAATTTTTACAAAATTATGTATAAATAAGTATTGAAAATTTAAATAAATTTAATAAATTTTGAGGGTTTTCTGAATTTTCGTCCCTTGTAAGTGAGTAAAATACTCTGTAAATGAAAAAGAAATAAAAATTACTTACGTTTTATATTCACATTCTCTTTTATATCCTCTATACACGGTACATATCCTAAAATATTGCAAATAATGTATTTTATTAATATCTCATATACATATATAACATATGTGCACACACACACACACACACACACACACACACACGTACCATCAAATATTATGGGTATGTTTTCCACTTCTTCGGCTTCCTTTTCTTTTTGTTTAGACAATGAAACACTTTCCATTCCTAATATTTGTTACAATAATTATTATAACAACTATTATATTTAGATAATAAAAATAATATGCGAGTTACCTTTCTTTGACAAAGTCTCATTAAAACGGCTTCCACAACTTTTTGTGAGACATTATGTGTATTAAATGTAGAGAGTACATTATTATTTAAACCAAAGTTGTCAGGACACGATGGTAGAGTAGATGCAATAGCACTCGAACAGTTTTTTTCTGTAAGTCTTTTTCCTAAAAAATATATATTTAAAAGTCACTATTAATACTATTAATACTTAATAAAATGAGTACCATAAAAAAATAGTAATAATACAATTTAAAGATCTTTCTTTTTATATGCGATTACATATGAAACAATCTCTAAAAGTATGTGGCAATAAGTTTTACATACTTTGACAAGATGTACCTTTAATGTTTAATTCTCGAGATTGTGTTTCTTCGTATTCTTCTTCGTCACTATTATTGCTACGATTGCATGAATAACGTTGTTTTTTATTAAATTTTCGAGATTGTGTTTCTTCGTGTTCTTCATCACTA